CCCCCCTGTTCGTTCACCAATCATCCCCCCCCCCCGTCCGTTCACCAATCATCCCCTTCCCCTGATCCATATTTCAGACACAGTACACCGAGGTTTAGCTGGCAAATGAATGTATCGTACATACCTGTACCCAAAAAAACATGAATGCGGTATATACGTATTAGGAAGGTTATATCGAGACTGTGTTGTGCATAACATGTAACATTAAATAAGTACACCACTGTGTTAAAGGAGACTTAGAACGAGGCCGTGTCGCCCGAGCAAGGGAGAAGAACTGTCAGTCACATGACATCAGGTACACAGCCTAGCAATTTGGGGTGTGCTCCACGTGTTTGAAAAGATAGTCCTTTACAAAGTTCTTTTGGAATAAGTACCAGGAAAACTGACATATGATTGTTTGGAATCGATATTAGCCCCTTTTGAATCTACTCGGACAAATATTTAATCGCACAATAGAAAAGACATTGTAACTGTACAGAGGCGTAGCGATGGGGTGGCGAGTGGGCAAATGTCCCCGGGCGCAAACTAGTTAATGGCGCCAAAATGTGCTTTGATATTACATTATTGGTAAACATATTGGGTTTGAGAGTTGAAAAAAAAAAAAGAAAAGGGGGCGCTTTAAAATAGATCTAGTCCCCGCGCGCAAATCTTGTCCCCGGGCGCCAAACACCCTCGCTACGCCTCTGTAACTGTAAGTAGAGCAAAAAGTATTGTCAACCAAGTGAATCACTGAAAACAAATATCTGATGTCTCATAACCGACAAATTGTGTAAAGTGTATGTGCATTAGTATGTGGTGTTAACACTGGACAGAAGGCACAAGCAGTTTGTCTGGTGTTACCACTGGACAGAAGGCACAAGCAGTTTGTCTGGTGTTACCACTGGACAGAAGGCACAAGTAGTTTGTCTGGTGTTACCACTGGACAGAAGGCACAAGTAGTTTGTCTGGTGTTACCACTGGACAGAAGGCACAAGCAGTTTGTCTGGTGTTACCACTGGACAGAAGGCACAAGCAGTTTGTCTGGTGTTACCACTGGACAGAAGGCACAAGCAGTTTGTCTGGTGTTACCACTGGACAGAAGGCACAAGCAGTTTGTCTGGTGTTACCACTGGACAGAAGGCACAAGTAGTTTGTCTGGTGTTACCACTGGACAGAAGGCACAAGTAGTTTTTCTGGTGTTACCACTGGACAGAAGGCACAAGCAGTTTGTCTGGTGTTACCACTGGACAGAAGGCACAAGCAGTTTGTCTGGTGTTACCACTGGACAGAAGGCACAAGTAGTTTTTCTGGTGTTACCACTGGACAGAAGACACAAGCCGTTTGTCTGGTGTTACCAATGGACAGAAGACACAAGCAGTTTGTCTAGTGTTACCACGGGACAGAAGATACAAGCCGTTTGTCTGGTGTTACCAATGGACAGAAGACACAAGCAGTTTGTCTAGTGTTACCACGGGACAGAAGATACAAGCCGTTTGTCTGGTGTTACCAATGGACAGAAGACACAAGCAGTTTGTCTGGTGTTACCACTGGACAGAAGGCACAAGCAGTTTGTCTGGTGTTACCACTGGACAGAAGACACAAGCAGTTTGTCTGGTGTTACCAATGGACAGAAGACACAAGTAGTTTGTCTGGTGTTACCACTGGACAGGAGACACAAGCACTTTGTCTAGTGTTACCACGGGACAGAAGATACAAGCCGTTTGTCTGGTGTTACCACTGGACAGAAGACACAAGCAGTTTGTCTGGTGTTACCACTGGACAGAAGGCACAAGCAGTTTGTCTGGAGTTATCACTGGACAGAAGGCACAAACAGTTTGTCTGGTGTTACCAATGGACAGAAGACACAAACAGTTTGTCTGGTGTTACCACTGGACAGGAGACACAAGCACTTTGTCTAGTGTTACCACGGGACAGAAGATACAAGCCGTTTGTCTGGTGTTACCACTGGACAGAAGACACAAGCAGTTTGTCTGGTGTTACCACTGGACAGAAGGCACAAGCAGTTTGTCTGGAGTTATCACTGGACAGAAGGCACAAACAGTTTGTCTGGTGTTACCAATGGACAGAAGACACAAACAGTTTGTCTGGTGTTACCACTGGGCAGAAGGCACAAGCAGTTTGTCTAGTGTTACCACGGGACAGAAGATACACGCCGTTTGTCTGGTGTTACCAATGGACAGAAGACACAAGCAGTTTGTCTAGTGTTACCACGGGACAGAAGATACAAGCCGTTTGTCTGGTGTTACCAATGGACAGAAGACACAAGCAGTTTGTCTGGTGTTACCACTGGACAGAAGGCACAAGCAGTTTGTCTGGTGTTACCACTGGACAGAAGACACAAGTAGTTTTTCTGGTGTTACCACTGGACAGAAGACACAAGCAGTTTGTCTGGTGTTACCACTGGATAGAAGGCACAAGCAGTTTGTCTGGTGTTACCACTGGACAGAAGGTACAAGCAGTTTATCTGGTGTTACCACTGGACAGAAGGTACAAGCAGTTTATCTGGTGTTAACACTGGACAGAAGGCACAAGTAGTTTTTCTGGTGTTACCACGTGACAGAAGACACAAGCAGTTTATCTGGTGTTAACACTGGACAGAAGGCACAAGTAGTTTTTCTGGTGTTACCACGTGACAGAAGACACAAGCAGTTTATCTGGTGTTACCACTGGACAGAAGGCACAAGCAGTTTGTCTGGTGTTACCACAGGACAGAAGACACAAGTAGTTTGTCTGGTGTTACCACTGGACAGAAGACACAAGCAGTTTCTCTGGTGTTACCACGTGACAGAAGGCACAAGCAGTTTGTCTGGTGTTACCACTGGATAGAAGGCACAAGCAGTTTGTCTGGTGTTACCACTGGACAGAAGGTACAAGCAGTTTATCTGGTGTTAACACTGGACAGAAGGCACAAGTAGTTTTTCTGGTGTTACCACGTGACAGAAGGCACAAGCAGTTTGTCTGGTGTTACCACTGGATAGAAGGCACAAGCAGTTTGTCTGGTGTTACCACTGGACAGAAGGTACAAGCAGTTTATCTGGTGTTAACACTGGACAGAAGGCAGAAGTAGTTTTTCTGGTGTTACCACGTGACAGAAGACACAAGCAGTTTGTCTGGTGTTAACACTGGACAGAAGGCACAAGCAGTTTGTCTGCTGTTACCACGTGACAGAAGACACAAGCCGTTTGTCTGGTGTTACCACTGGACAGAATGCACCAGCAGTTTGTCTGGTGTTACCACAGGACAGAAGACACAAGTAATTTGTCTGGTGTTACCACTGGACAGAAGACACAAGCAGTTTCTCTGGTGTTACCACGTGACAGAAGGCACAAGCAGTTTGTCTGGTTTTACCACTGGATAGAAGGCACAAGCAGTTTGTCTGGTGTTACCACTGGACAGAAGGTACAAGCAGTTTATCTGGTGTTAACACTGGACAGAAGGCACAAGTAGTTTTTCTGGTGTTACCACGTGACAGAAGACACAAGAAGTTTATCTGGTGTTAACACTGGACCGAAGACACAAGAAGTTTATCTGGTGTTAACACTGGACAGAAGGCACAAGTAGTTTTTCTGGTGTTACCACGTGACAGAAGGCACAAGCAGTTTATCTGGTGTTACCACTGGACAGAAGGCACAAGTAGTTTGTCTGGTGTTACCACTGGACAGAAGGCACAAGCAGTTTCCGTTGATGTTACTGGAAAATTGTTTGGACACCGCTTTCAGGGGCTACAAATGGGTCAACAACAAGCAGAGGCT